TACAAGGAATTCTGTTCTCTCCCTGGAATTGGTCACTCCCTTCACCCACCCACCCCATCCTCTATGTTCTCTGGGGAGAGAGGGGGGTCGACTGTGGCATCTGCCCACCACGTCGGCTCTAGAATGAGAGGAGGCCTAATATAAGGCTCTGTTCGCAGTCTTGTAGAGGCACTGTTGACAGGTCCCTTTGGATTCAGATCTAGGGAAGATGAAAAGAACCACCGAAGTTATTCATGCTGCCTTTATTCTCAGGAAACACAGTATAAAATCAATGCTCAAGTGTAGTATCCCTTTTAACCTGGGCATTTCACATATCTGCCTTCCCCTATTTCACATAGAGGAGGGGGCCCTATTGAACACTCCTTGTATGCCTGCACTCTGCTAGGTTCTGGGGATGCAGAGATGGCTGAGATAGAATAAGATACCATCCCAGCCCTCTGAGAGCTCACAGTCCTGTAGTAGATACCTGGAAGGAAACAGTTATAAAACATTGACAGGAGTGCTTAAATCAGGTGCACATGTATACTCTAGACATTGGAGGAGACAGTAGTTAATTGGACTGGGGGTGATGGAGGGGCTGAGAGGAGGTGGTACAAGGCTGTGGGATGGAGGCAATGCTAGAAGGACAAGTAGGTAGCTTCCCCATATAAAATATACAACACTCACCAAGTTCAAGTCAGATTTCAGTAAAGGAGAAATAATTTATAGTATAAGTATGTCCTGTGCAATATTTGGAGTAGACATATTAAAAATTATTTCTTACTCATTTGAAATTTGAATTTTACTGGGTGTATTTTCAGTTGGTAAATCTGGGAGTTCCATGAGTTGAAGTTTGTACAAAGGTGTTGGAGGAGTTACAGAGAAAACATTATGTGTGCATACTGTGTGCAAACTGCATGTGCAAAGGTTGTCAAGCAAGCAAGAAGCTGTTGTGCAAGAAGGTGCAAGTATATCCTGGAGACTGGAGCCTGGGGTGGTAAGAGGGATGGGGGAGAGGTGAGGGTAAAGAGACTTTAGAGGCAAGATCTTGATGTCTTACTGTAGGCTGGGCTTTTTCTGGGGACAATCAAAAAGTCTGTGAGGATTTGAATCAGAGAAATAGTTCATGAGACTATTTTTTATTTCAATTTTTAAAGATAGATTAGAAAGTTTTATTTTTAGTTGTCCTCTCTGGAAGGTGGTAGATAAATTGTAAAATATGCATGTTTATAAATCAATATATTCATAAAGGAGTAAAAACTGCCAAGCCCAGTTTGCTATAGTGTCATCTGGAGAATGAATGGGCAGGTTCGCCTGAGTGGGGCCTGGTTGATCTGAGTGGCCTGGTGAGTAGAAGTTAGAGTGAGCAGAGTTTTCCTTCAAGTTGCCTGTACCTGGTGGCTGAGTCCCAAAGAAAAGAAAGGGCTCAAGGGTGCTTAACCAGCTGCCAGCCAAAAAATGTCTATACACACACACACACACACACACACACACATACTGCACAGAAATGCTTGTATTAGGAGGAGGTGAGGTTGGACTTTGCCTTTAACTATGAATTTTGATGATTCTTCTTAGGCTTTCCTGAGCATTAGACAGTGGGCCCAAACAGTTCTTGAGACAGAGGGTTTCGGGGTCCACAGGATAGGTGTGACAGTCGCATCTCCACAGAAGTGGAACAAAAAAGATGCTTGTCCCAGTAAGAATATCCTGGAGCTTCATAATGCATGTGGAACACCATTCTAAATATTCCAGACTTCCTGAGAACCTAGCTATGTGCCTCATGGATATTAGATGTTAGCAATTCTCTTATTTCATGGGATGGGAGGGCAGGGATTCATAATTCTGCTTTACAGATGGGAAGTCAAAGGTGAAAGGGATAAAGCATGAATCACCTGCCTGTGAGGAGCTGAGCTGAGGCCACACTCCGTGTTTCCTGACGCCAGGCCAGGATACTTTCTGTGCACAGTCCAGCCTACCACCACCCAGTGGCAGGCAGCACATCCGGCTGCCCTGCCCACCGTTCCAGGCTGGAGAGGATTCTGAGGGTGTCTTTGGAGTGTCAGAAAATACACTGATAGAAACAGAATGGGAGGGGCAGGTTGAAAAAGCCCCTCCCCCTAGTCTTTCCAGGGGAGCACAGGGGCAGGAGCACTGTGTATGGGAGAGGCCACCGGAGAGGTGCCAGCCAGCCCCGAGTGACCCTGCTTCCCCCAGCAGTCAGCTCTGGGCAGTGGAGAGGATGACGAATGCCTCCGAGCTGGTGTTATGAAGCAACAGGGAAAGCACATCCAATTTTCATGTATGGACGTCTGGCAGTGTGGGAAAATCAGAACTTTTTTTGAAAGGAAAAACACAAGTTTAGATTTGTATGTTGCCCCTGTTCATTTAAACTGTTCAAGGAGAAAAGATGTACTTCTGGCTCACAGCTCTCAAGAATCCTGGTTTCTGGGAGCTCTGTCACATCAATAGCATGTTTAAAGAAATTTTGTTTTAAACACACACACACACACATACACACACACACATTCTTGCCACTAGGGAAAGGGAGGCTGGGCTTTGAAGTGCAAAAGTTTGACAATATGATTAAAAAAACCCTAAAACCCACAAAACAAACTGCACGTGTCCTTCACTCAGGTCGCTCAGCACATAGAGTGTGCGTCTGACCTGGCAACGGGCAATCAGTCTCCACCACTCCAGGCCTGGGTCCAAGTCTGTCTCTGAGACCAAGACAAGAGTCCTTCTTTTCCAGCTGGCCTTGGGAGGAGCCAATCATGTACTAGGCTTAGGAATCTGGGGTCTTACACCCACATTTCTGGTCTGTTCTCAGCAGAATTGTGTTCCTGGTATACTCAAGGGTCCTCTTTCTAGAGCAGGAAGGCTCTGGGAGTGGCGTGGGAGTTGGGAATTGGAGGTGATCAATGTGAGTAGGGAGCAATCACTCATAGGCTGGGTCCTCCTATGAATGCTTTTGGGATTTACTCTGACTTGGGACATTTAGGAAGAGCGGAAGTACATCCCCTGGACTAATTTTCAGGATTTTAATCGTCCTCCCAAGTCCTCCCACCATTTGGGGAAACTGCAAGCTTGAATGAGAGGTCAGCTAAGCCTGGATTCAGAGGTGAGAGGATGTTATCTACAAACACAGCTCTTTCCAATGAGTGAGGAAACAGAGGCATTTGGCTTGGAACTGAGGGCCTGGCTGTAAGGAGAGAAAAGGACCCCCTACCAAACAGCATTTTTCTCTAAATGCCCCTTGAATTGAGACACAGTTGCCCGGTCTCCTGCGGTCTATTCTCTGGGAGGAATGTCTTCCCCAGCTTCTAGGGCTGAGCTTTCCCAATTGTTCAGGGATTAACCCTTTGCCATCCAAAGTCTGACTTTCTCGGCTGTTTCCCCCCATTCAGCCTCTCTCTTTGGCAAGTCTTGCTTTAGTGTAGAAGTGACAGAGCAGCTGACCATCTGTAGATGCTTCCCGTGTGCAGAGTGGAGTCACAATGTCCATTCTGTTCATCTTGAGTGCTTTAAGTAAATAGCCTCACGTCTTCACAAACTCTAGTAGTTTTACTTGGAATCTGTCCATCAAGAAATTAGGTCTGCAGAGTCCAAAGCAAGCTTCCCTAGACCTTTACAAACAAGTTGACCCTGCAAGGCAGCACCTCCTAAGGTGTCACCCTTGAACACTAAGATCTGTGGCTCATTTGACACATGGGGTGATACCACACTGCTCAGATGTGGGGTTTCAGCATCCTTGACCTCCCTCTACCCACAGTGCAAGGACACACAGTGCTGAGACCCACCAAACTTCAAGAAGCACTCGTTGTTGTCTCTTGTCCCTGGGATCCATCACGGTCACACTCCCAGCTCTCTGGAGCTTGACCGCCCCCCCTCCTCCATGGAATGCTTGAAACAAAGAATTCCCAGGAACTCTGAGATAGATGGTGGCAGGGAGGCTTCTGTTCCTGGGGGGCTAGATTGGAAGGACAATCTGTGTTTCTGTGAATATTCTCTGCTTGCTTTCTGCCTTAATGCCTTCTGCCTTCTCTTGGTTTTGACTTGATGTTCCAGGGCCAGCTCTGAATGTAGCATGTGTGCCTGAGTGATGGACTTGATATTTACACAAGCCATTCTGATAAGTGCACATGTGTTTTTAATGTTTTGGCTTTCTACACCACAAACATGTCAATGTGTATATGCGTATACAACAGACTTGCTGTCGGGTGAATAGAGGTTCGTTCTCTCTCTCTCTCTGTTTCTGTCTCTCTCTCTCCCCCCTAACAGAAAGCTAACACCTTTCTGAGCAATATTTCCCCTCACACTGAACCACATTTACCTATTGCCTCTGGTGTTATTTGAAGGCCAGTGGCTGGTCCTCCCACCTGGAAAAGTGTTGCATTTTAAAATCAGCAAACAACCTCAGCTACACCTTCCCCTGTCTTTGCAGAGACTAGCCAACAAGGCTAGGGATTTAAACCGACCTATTTTTGCTTCAGCTTCCCCCCAGCCCCTGAATGCTGGGAAACCGCCTGTCTTTGTACTGCAACTGCAGAGAACAAAACCAGGGAGGTGAGCTGCTTGTCTGATGGGCTGCTGCTGGAAATTAGGAAAAAAGTATTCTCAAAAAAGTTCTCATACTCGCAGGGATTTGCAAGGACTGTTAATGTTTCTTGCTTTTCTGGGAGCTGACTCACGTTAATTACAGCACGCAACCTCTCCTCTACCCATCCTGACACTTTTATCTGGTCCCTCTTTTTTTTTTTTTTTTCTTCCCTTTTCCTTTCTCCCCCGGCCCCCTTCTTTTATTTATTTATTTTTTTGGTTTTGTTTTTCAAGGGGTGTTGACCTGTGTTTAGTTCTAGTAAACCGAACCCTCTTGCGAGGGAAGCGATTGGTTAATTGCACCGGTGACTGACGTGCTAAATGAGTGCGGCTCGCGGCAGCCGGGAGCTGATTGGCTGCTCGCGGAGACTCCAAGGGCTTTGCAACAGGAGCACGGGGCACTCGGGTCCTGCAGCCTCAGGAGTAGGTGCCGCGCGCCCGCCCGCCCGCAGCTCGCCGCGCGTCGGGGGAGCCCGGCAGCCCTCGCGCCCCGCGCCCCGCGCCCCGCTCTCCAACCCGCGCCTGCTCCCGCCGCCGCGCCTGCGGCAGGCCGCGGGCCGCCCCCCGCTGTGGACTGGGCAGCAGCGCGGCCGCGGAGCCGGGCAGGGCTGGGGACAGCGCCTTTTGTCCCTGGAGGTTCCTGGAAGTTTGCGGCGGGACGCGTGCGGGGAGAGCGCGGAGGGAGCCCCGACGTCGCGGTCGCTAGTGCGCGGAGCCAGCATGGGCAGCGGGCGCGGCCACGGGGGCCGCCGCTGGGCCGCCCTGGGCGTGCTGCTGGCGCTGGCCGCCGGGCTCCTGGCCGCGAGCTCGGCCAGCGAGTACGACTACGTGAGCTTCCAGTCGGACATCGGCTCGTACCAGAGCGGGCGCTTCTACACCAAGCCGCCGCAGTGTGTGGACATCCCAGTGGACCTGCGCCTGTGCCACAACGTGGGCTACAAGAAGATGGTGCTGCCCAACCTGCTGGAGCACGAGACCATGGCCGAGGTGAAGCAGCAGGCCAGCAGCTGGGTGCCCCTGCTCAACAAGAACTGCCACATTGGCACCCAGGTCTTCCTCTGCTCCCTCTTCGCGCCTGTCTGCCTCGACCGGCCCATCTACCCGTGCCGCTGGCTCTGCGAGGCCGTGCGCGACTCGTGCGAGCCGGTCATGCAGTTCTTCGGTTTCTACTGGCCCGAGATGCTCAAGTGTGACAAGTTCCCCGAGGGGGACGTCTGCATAGCCATGACCCCGCCCAATGCCACCGAAGCCTCCAAGCCCCAAGGTGAGGTCGTCCCCGAGCGCGCCCGAGAGACCCCCCACCCCGGGCGGGCGGGGACCCTGGGACTGGCCGGGCTGCTGCCAAGGCTGCGGGAAAAGCCCCTGCCGCTCCGTCCCGCGCCCAGAGGCTCCCCCAGGTTGCCGACGTGCTCCCTCGGGTTTGCTTTCTGGCTGTGCAGAATGATTTTTTAAAAGCTTCTAGTCTGTCCGCGGTGCCCTTTAGTGTCTTTCGAGACCCAGGTGCGCGGCGGGGCTTGCCCGGCAGCGGCGAATGCTTCTCGGCCCCCCAGCAAACTTGGTCGCGTTCCTGGAGCGGCGCTTCCTGGGATCCTGCCTCGCCTTTCCACACCTGGAACAAAGACTTAACGATCTAAATAATCGCAGAGCTCTTCTCTCCTTTGGGAGTGATCCGAGTTCCCCATGGAAATTTTTAACCCCCCCCCCCCAGATGGGATGCCCCAGGGGGAAAAATCAAAACCCCAAAAAGTGTAGAAAACTTAGAAAGGCCCAGAAAAATGCTAAGACTCAGTATGTTTATTTTCATTGGTTCAATGAGGATTAAAAAAAAAAAAAAGAGCTCATTTCTTAGCTAGTCATTCAGCCAAGTAGCTCCAGGACTGCTGCAGAAAAAAGTTTAGAAACTGGGGATTTCTGTTTCTCCACCCCTCTCAGATCACAGCCCTCACTTAGGGAAGGTTTGGGGGATGGAAAGTCTCTTCTCCCTCATTCTCACATACCCCCTGCATTTCTCACACAAATCCTCAGGTAATTAGAAAGATAAAAATGTAATTAGCTCATTGTTCATCCCTCGTTGAGGAGTGAGGCTCAGAAAACTGGACACTTTCCTAACAACCTCAGGGACCCACCTGAGGTTCCTGTCAGAACCCCCTCCCACTGAGGGGCAATTCTCAAGTGGGAGAGAAAAAATCTGGGAGAGGCCAAAACCAAAACCAAAACACCAAAAACTAAAACAGACAAGCAAAAAATCGAGCACTGTGGCCTGACTTTTATAGGATTGAATTCAACCCTGAATTCTTGGAAGTAGAGGTAAGGCTTGGAGTTGAGATAGTTTTGGAATGGGGCTCCATAGCCAGGTATACTTAGCACAAGGCGCCTGACCCCAGCACTCTTTAAGTAGGGTGTTTAGGATGTGTGTGTGTGTGTGGGGCCCTCTACTTACTGATTTAGCTTTTCTTGAAGTGATGCCAAAAAGAAATGTCTACTGAGGGCCGTGCTCCACCAAAGTGAGAATGAGGATAGGTATGGAGAAAGGGAACCCCGAAATTTGAATGCTCTTGTTTATTTCTGGGAGGGAGGACATGGGTCCAAATGACCAACGGTGGGAGGCAGGAACCCCAGCCTGGTAGTAAAGGTGACGCCTTCCTGCAGCAGGGATGTCTGAGCATCTCTGCTTTCTGCTTCCTGGGTGTCTGCACAGGGTTAACCTTAGGGAAATGCAGCCCTCTGAGAGCCAGAGCTGAGCAATTACCTAGAGCAAACAAAGCACTTTGTGTTCTGTCGGTGTGGAACCATCCCCTGCAGCCACAGGATTTTCCTTCTCCCCTTCCTCTGTTGGCTGGTGGGAGATTAGCGCAGCTCTGCCCTGAGAGGCTGGGGCCACCTCCACACTGAGCTGAGTCCACTCCTAAGTTCCTTTCTGGGATGGTCTGTAGTTCCAAAGTGAAGACCTTTGGGGAAATACTTTCTAAAGGGAACATAGGGAGATGTGATGGGGTGCCTGCCGATGAAAGGGAAAATCCTTCCCACTCAGCCTCCAAAAAACTGGGGTGGCATGGGGGAAGCCAAATAACTGCTGCTTCTTGAAGCCTTTTACTCCGTGGCTGCTGTGCTATGTGTTGGCTAGCTCCTTCATCTGGGCCTCTGTTCTTCCCTCCACCCCAGGCGACCTCAGGTGACCACCTTTCTAAGACCAGCTGCTTAACAGTGAAAAACTGGGAGGGGACCAGTCAGATGTGGGACTTGAGAACAGGGTCTCCTTCAGTGTCTCTGGAAAGAGGCTTTGAAGGATTCTTCCAAGGATGGCAGCCCCTTGATGGGAGGGAGCCCCACATGACTGTCTCTGAAGCCAAATGGTCACAGAATGTCAGCGGAGCATGGAGGTGGGAGGCTGTGTGTGTGCATGCATGTGTGTGGATGTGTAGGGGAGGGCTGAGACAGACCCCACGGATGGTCCTCATAACATTACAACAGGTGGCTCCAGAATAAGAACTGATTCTTTTAGATGTGAATAATTACACATGCACTACTTTATTCTTTAAAACTAAAACCCAATTTTCAAAACAAGGTTTATCTTTGCATGCTGTGTACTAGTTCCTGTTCACATACTTGAGCGTATACAATGTTGAGGTATTGGCAGGCTTTTGTGGCCATGTGATATTAAAGATAAACTTGATAATGAGAAATGAGTCAAAAGATACTCTACACCCCCCCCCCCCCCCCCCCCCCCCCTTGCCCCAAACTCTGATGCCTAAGCTGCATCAGCATCTATGAGGGGAGAGGCCATTGTTCTTTTTCCAGGAGAGTTTTTTCTAAACCCTGCACTTACATTAGATCTGTCCACTCCCAGGCTGATAAATTGTTATTCCTCCTCCCTGCCAGGTTTTACTGACTCAAGTTGTATGAATGAGGACATACTTTTAGCTTCTTTTGTTGTTTAGGCACATTATGCATTAAATCAGCCTGGCTGTTTCAGGCACTGATTGCAGAAGCCATGGTGTCTTCATTTCTGCAGAGAGCCATGGCTCCCCCACCCCCGACCCAGGGTCCCTTATCTCTGCATTGAGGAGCTGGCTAGGGAAGACCTGTTTGTGTGAAAGAGAGTGTGTTTCCATGTGTGAGAGAATGCATTTATAAGTGAGAGTCTGTCCTTGTGTGTGTGGTAGTGTGTGTGCAAGCAATAGAGCAATTTGTGTGTGCATGTTCGTGTAAGGGAGCCTGTGTTGTGCTGTGTGCATGTGTGTGCCTTTGTTTTCAAAGATTCACTTAATCCCGATTCCAATGTTAGACTTTCTCCTGCTCGCCTTAAATATTAATAAAACATAAAACCTTTTAGTTCTTATTCCTTTGCTTTAAACACATGAAAACAGCTACTTAGTTCTAGTCTCAGATGGATGACTGGTAGATTTCTCCTTCTGAGGCTGCCTCAGGGCCCCAAGGATGCCCCAAAGGGGGCCCAGATTAATATTGCATTACACATTCCTTCCTTCTCTGGATCAAGCTGCTCCGGAGTCTCGGCGGCAAGAAAAGTTGAGATGGGGAACAGTTATGCCAAGAACACAGCTCACCCCAAGGAGCATTTGCCTTTGGAGAGGCACTAAGGCCAAATGTAATTGATGGAACTGAGGAAAAAGTCCCGTGGGGTACAGAGCCTTCATTGCCAGTCACGTCAGGGGGACTCGGGGTGTTCAGAGGAGGTGACCTGTGCGTGTCCATGTAAGGTGATGGAAACCTGCTATTATGTTCTGATAGCCCTGCTATTTGTTCGGTCAATACTTTTTTCTTCTTTTTTAAAAATAACTTAGGCCAGGAAAACCCCAAAACAGAGGTCGTTCTCACAGGGAATTTACCACTGTCCTTCCCATATGGTGAGATTTCCTTTCCCTATTTTTCTCCCCATGGAAGCAGGATTCATAAGGCAAAATCCTGGTTACTTTTTTTCCTTCATCAGAAACACTACCCCAGAGCCCAATTGCAAGTTCTGAGTACAAAGCAAATTTCTAACATCTGGGCCGAAAGAACCAGAATGGGCAACTGTGGTCCTTGCCACACTGAGAATCTGGACAGTGTTGGACCCTGGGTACAGAGTAAAGCTGGGAGAGGAATCTATCAAATAAGATGACGGTGTGTGGTCTCTGTTTGGAAACGGGGGGTGATTGGGCATCTCCCCCACTGCTGCCAGCCCACTGACCAGCTGTGGGCCAGCAGGGTTCTAGGGCAGTGTTGAGGTGAGAAGCTGTGCCACTCCCTGCTTAGCATCCACTACAGGAGACTTTGCCCACTTCACTGAGCCACCGGGAAGCCCAGTGGGGAAAGGAGATACTGCCACAGAAGCCACTAGAGAGGGGAGGAGGAGGAAGAAGAGCCTTAAGTTTCAGTGGAGGTTATTCATCCTTTCTGGGGACAACTTTCTTGTGCTAGTTGGCTCCAATCTGGCTTATCCTCTGGTGCTGTGGTGGGGGTGGAGTGCCCTAGAATGTGCTTTCCTAGATCATGCCTAAAACCTCAAGCTGTTTGATGGAAGATGGTGGTGGTGGTGATGATGAGGGTGTAGTGCTGTTGATGGTGGTGGGGTTGGTGATGAGCTATTTCACCTGCAGGGAATTCCACTGTACCACTTTCTCTGGCCCTTCCATGTTTGTTGGTTTCCTGTCTTTCACCACGCCCCCCTTTAAATATTCCAAATAGCAGGGCCATCAGAACATAAATGCCAGGTCTCATCTTCTCAGAGATCCCTACAGTACCAGCACCGTTTTGCCTTGGAGGAGGCCCCTCTGACCCAGGTCTCAGAAGCCTCCTCCCACTGCGGCCTCCCAATGACTCTCACGCCCCACACATACCTCCCCCTTCAAAGCACTTCACAAAGTCATGAAAACGCTTGTTTTCATGTCCAGTGCTGTCCTCCCATTTGGCAGCTCTTGCTAGTGCCGCTTGCAGCCCCCCACTCAGCTGCTCCTGCTCCCCGCCCCTGCAGGAATTCAGACTGCAATAGCCCTTTTGGAGAGGGGTGTTCAGGACCTTATGGTTGGAGTTTGTGAGTCTGGTCGAGTTTCTTGGCTTCTGGCAGGCTGGTCAGATGGATGGACTGTGTTGTTGGAAGTTTGGGAATAGGAAAGGGGAAGGAGTCAGGGGGGATATTTAAAGGAGAGGGTGAGAGAACAGGAAACAAACAACTGGAATAGTTGTGTTTTCCCAGGGACCCACACACCCCATAACTCACAGGACTAGTCCAGCATCAGATAATGTAGGCTTAAGTCATGATGTCTTATACTCTTGGCTCTGAGTTTTCCAGAGGTCATCTGTCTGTCTGTGGCTTTAGGTCCTGAGCTGAAGGAGACTTCTTTTTGACTTTCAGGTTGTCCTTCAGAAATTGCAGAAGACCTTCATCTCTCTTCAGCCTGCTCCTGCTGCTAATGTCTCTTTGCCAGGGGCAGTTCCTCCCTGTTACCCTCTGTCCTGTTGCTCATAGTTTGTTTCTTCTTCTTTCCCTTTCTAGGCACAACGGTGTGTCCTCCGTGTGACAACGAGTTGAAATCTGAAGCCATAATTGAACATCTTTGTGCGAGCGAGTTTGGTAAGAAAGCATCTGGGGTTTGTCATTCCCTGCTTCCTCCTGGTCTGCCTCCCAGGTGAACAAAGCCCGCTGGTGCATTTTTTGGAGCGTGATATTCTCTACCTTCATCCTGCCCAAATAGCTGCTTTTCTCAGGCACTGCTTTTGCCCTTCTGTGTGGGAGATCACTGCTGAGGGTTTTGAGAACCTTCTCTAGGAGTAAGGGTAGGCAGGCTCGGGGACAAATGGAGAGAGTGTAGGGGGTCAAACCTCTCCTTGCAGGCTCTCAGGAGGTCCAGTGGGCAACTCTTGCTGGTCTTGTCGAGGCACTTGTCCTTCTGCCATCCTCCCCTAGGGGTCAGCACCACTCTGCCCAGGATCTGATAGGGCTGACTGGGCCTTCCCTGGGAGGGGAGGAGTCCAACCCCAGGGCCTTCAGAGAAGGAACCCCTGTCACATTCATCCAAGCAAAGAAAACCAACACCCTCACAGTAGGGATTTCTCTCCCTTTTTCCCAAATCACTTTGGGTTAGAAGGGAATTTTGAATCAGTACCCAGGAGAAGGGTTGGATGTGGCCTGGGGAGCAGATGCCAGGGGGCCTTTCAAGGATTGTCACTTGTGGTAGTTTCCAGAGGAGGCCTGACTCCAGGCCATCTGAGAGACTCTCCTCTGGGACAAGTCGACCCATACCCCATCCTTCTAAAGGGCCAACTCCCTCACTCCTGTCTCTATTTTGTATGGATGCTGAGATGTGGCTCAGGTCAGGCCCCCCTTGCAGGTTCAGCCTGACACTGCACAGGCTATTTCTTTTGATTCCACATTATGTCCCTGAGGCTGCATTTTGTACAGAATTCTCATCAGGAAAAGCATAACAGTAGGTAATGCGAATCTTTATGTCCATTCGGAGCCACCTGTTTCATGTTTTCATTAAGCAGACATGATAAAGTACACTGAAGGGTCTCATACTGGCCAGGTGCCTTTCTAAATGAGCGGCACAGGTGTGTGTGTGTTGACATTGAACAATGATAGATAGAGTCTCAGGGTATTTGTGATTGTTACTGAAGTTGGAGAATTCAGACCCTTTGTCAGAGAGAGCTTCCTGAGAATGGATACAATCTGCCTCTTACGCCTATATTACTGTTATTTCTCTTGTTAATGATTAACACTTAACTACTGTTAATTACCATTCTTAATATTATTTCTACATTCGATATTTCTGCCTGCCTTCTTCACTTATGCTGGTGGACAACAGGACCTTCAGGAAAATTTGGTCTGCTCTGCATTTTGCTGCTCATATGTCTCACACCATTTTTGTTACCATTCTAAATGAACCCAGATGAAATTATAGAAGGCAAATGTAGCACTGTAAGCAAACTTTTTAAAAAAAGATTTATTTATTTATGCGTGCAAGAAGTGGGGTATAGGCCAGAGGTGTGGGGAGTGAGAAGATCCATCAGAGACAGAGTGGGGAACAGAGTGGGCAGATTGACTGAAATACACTGCTGAGGGACGCAGCGGGCGAGACAGGAGAGGTCTGCTGCACCATGTGGGTAGCTCCCTGGCTGGGGATTGAACTCGTGCTGCAGTGGCTGCGGAGAGTTTCCTTCATAGGTTGCATCTTAACCCCTGGCGCCACCAGGGAGGCCCTGTAAGCAAACTCTTATAGTCCTTCTAATGGGAATAACTTTTGCTTCTTTATCCTCATACTCTCGCTTCATCAGGGCCTGCTAAAAGCCAGGCTGAGCCTCCTACTGTCAAGTCTGCAGCCCACAGCCCGGGCCGCGTTAACAGCAGGCTTTTCTTCCACACAAGGTTGAGCTTCCTTCCCAAAGATACATTTGAGCGTAGAGAAAAGGGACACAGATAAAATCTCTCAGAAGTCCTGACGAGAAGCATTTTGCTATATAACTGAGGTAGGAAGAACCTGCTTAGACGTGGCTGTGTTCCTGAGGGATCCTCATGTGGGGCAACTAAGAGCCACTTTGAGATGACATAGATTCTCTTCAGATAGTATAAATCATCATGCTCACATTTAAAAGTTTGCTGATATTTCCAGGGAATCATAGTAAACTCTGAAAGGTAATTTCAGCCAATGTTTTATGCTCCAGTTATTCTTTTGGGTCCGATTCCTGAGGGAAAGGTAATGGGAAACTTGGAATTGAATAGTGTGGAGATGCCTGGCAGGTGGTGTCTTCCTATCAGGGAACTCAAATTTTGTGTACCCGATCAGTCATTGATTCATGTGTACGTTCAACTAACAAACTAACATTTAATGAGTGAAAAGCACTGGATACAGTGTCTAGCACTTAATAAATTAAGATTTAATTTTTCAACTTTGAAAATCCTCATCAAACACTCATCAGTGACTTCCCAGAGCATCATATAGTCATTTTGTAACTCACCAACATTATAACTCACTGGAGGGGGCCGTGGGAACTCAGAACCAAAGTTAATGTTAAGGGGCTATAAGCAGACAATCCATGTCTTTTGCTCAGATTCTTTGGAACTCACCAGCCTGAACTCACCATCAGGCATAGTTCCGTGATTCCTAATTGCTAGGTTTGAATCCTCCCTAAATTTGGTTGCTCCCCCAAATTCTGGTAGCTATGGACGTTGTGGCAACTAGCTAAACTTGTTATGGCCTGGTCATGAGCTGAAAAAACAAGCCCAAGGAACTTGCAAATGGAACGTTGACCTTAGGGTGGAGGGCAAGTGTATAGAGGATGTTTAGGTAGTTCACTTGCCTATGGTCATCCTTTCCCCAATTTAATCAGTAGCTGCTAAGGCATCAAGTCATCTGCAGACTGCTTACAGGGGAGGGGTGGATCTTACTATAGTAATTAAATAATTATAATCTTAAGTAATTAAGATATGTAATTATTATCTTAATTTAATAATTCACCAATCATGTCTTGGTGAATGTTGATACTTGAGTGTGTTTCTCTAGCCCTGAGATTACTTTTTTCTTAAATTCAAAGAACTTTCGAGTTCTGGACCATATAGGATGCATGGTCAAGCTTACTTATTTCATAAATAAGGAATGTCATGCTGCCATCTTCATTTAAGAGGAGATGGCTAACCATTTTAGAGGAATGAATAGCCACTTCCATAAAGGCATTTATCTCTCCATGGGTGTGGTGTGTGCCAGACTTCTTTCACTGGGATACAGGAGAGGCCGTCTGGGGTGTGTGTGTGTGTGTGTGTTGCTTATAATGTTCTTATAAGACAATAAATAGGATTTTTTCCCTTTCTCTGCAGGGACTGAGCATTGCTCTGTCCTTCTTAGCTCCCTGGAGAAGCAGCCACGTTGAGGAACTTGTTTCCTAGCTCAGTTCATTTCAAGTAAGTGAGGCAGTCAGCCACACTGATGGGATTCAGTTAGAAAACAAAGACATTCAGCAATGCAAGCTGACACACAACAGAGAAGAAAAAGAATGTTTTACTCCCTACTCCAGGGATCAAACTTTGCATTAACTGGCCCTGACATCCCCAGTGGGGAGACTTCGGGTTGTTGGAAGGCTCTCTGTGAGCTGTAGGAACAAGGGGTACATTCCTTCTGGGTCAGCACACACGCTCACCCTTCTGCCCACGTATCCTCGGACTCCCGCAGCCTCTGTGGAGCTGGGCATGCCCACCCCATTGCCTCCTCCCCGGGCGGTGCATTTTTAACTCTCAGGCAGGTCGGCTTGGACACTCGTCTCTTTACCCCTGCACTGTACCCCCTCAGTTCAGAGCGCATTTTTTTCCCCAACAGGGAAAAGCATCAGTAGAAACACCTGCATGCTGATGCTCAGGAATGCAGCTGGATCAGACTGAATCAAGCACCAGATGTGGGAAAGCCAAAAGTTAGATGGTGCAAAGTCTCTGAATTCAACATGGCAGCCAGCCTGCCTGCTGTGCTTAAATTAGGATGCCCTGCTCTGCTTTTTGTTCTCTCTGCTTTCCCTGCTCTGTGACAATAGGGTGCTGCTCTTTTCTCTTAAACAGGCCAATATAGAATTTGCAGGATGCCACACTAATAATCCTGCTGTTAACAGCTCAGGGCCATAGACACCATTTCTCAGGTTAGTTTATCCCAGGGATGTGAGGATCTGATTTATAATTGCTGGGAGGTCAAGACCCTGCTCCCGGCCACGTTTCTACCTTCTCCTCCAGTATCTGTATACACCGTTAAGGTTTTCTGGTAGAAATGTGCATGAGGACATACTTCCGCTAGGATAGTTCCAATAGGATACGACAGTTTCCTTTTGGGCTGGCTTTTCCGGTTTTTTGAACTTGAGGGTTCAGGTGGCAACTTATTTCGTTGGTGATTTTCTCAATGTGGAAAAAGATTTATTTGCCCCCAGAAATTTTCCTTGCTTTCTGGAAGGATTTTTTTTCCCCCTCCATTTATATGTTACCTCATAAAGAGTAAAACTGTACTTTGCGACATTAAAATTAGCCAAATAGGAACGAAAAAGCCCCAATTCTCACTGTTGGCCTTTGGGGATATTTCCTAGAAAAAACCCTTGCAGACCTTCCACACTTGGGTTCATGTGTCCTCACAGGGCCTCACTCTCCTTTCAAGGTGTCTTGGGTGTGCTGCTGTTTGGGGGCACGCTGTTTTCCTCTGCAGGCCAGTTTGATCTCTTGTAAAAAGTAGGCTTAACTTTTCCAAACTAAACCTTGGACTTCCTCCTGCAGATGAGAAAACTGGCTGCCAGCATAGTAATTGCAACATCTGTAAACTGCCTGGGAGCTGACTCTGTATCTTATGCCACATTTTACCAAATGTAAGATGCCTATTAATTGTGAGATGTGCTATTAATTTTGTGCCACTGACAAAGAAAACACACTTCGTGTTGAAATGTGAAGGTAATCTGTGTCTTAGAGTGAACACACTCAGGCCTGTTTATACTTAAATGGTCCTTGGCACAGTGGTAGACATGAAATGAAAGTTTGTCAAATCACGGGGGATGGCAAGGACATGGAAATTGGACTTCCTTTTTTTATAAAAGGAGAAAGCCCCTTTCCAAGTAAAT